CCAATGATGAATGACACTATTACCTCCTCCACTGATACCAATGATGGGCACACTATTCCTCCCACTGAATACGATGATTGGGGCACTATTCCTACTCACTGATTACCGATGATGGGCACTGTTCCTCCCCCCAAACTTGATACTAATGATGGGCGTACTATTCCTCTCCCACTGATACCAAGCTGATCAGGGACATTTATTTCCTCCCACTGACCACCAATGATGGGACACTATTCTCTACCACTGATACCGATGATGATGGGCATCCTTGTTCCTCCCACTGATACAATGATGGGACGTTTTATTCCTCCCACTGATAGACCAATGATGGGGCACTATTCCACACCACTGATACCGTAATTGATGGGGGCACTATTCCTCCCACGGATACCAATGATGGGCACTATTCCTCCCACGGATACCAATGATGGGGCACTATTCTCCCACGATACCAATGATGGGGCCACTATTCCTCCCACGGATACCAAGTATGATGGGACAACATTCCTGCCCACGGATACCAATGATGGGGCACTAGTTCCTCCCACTTGGCGATACCAATTTGATGGAGGGTCACTATTCCTCCCACGATACCATGATGAGGGGCACTATTTCCTCCCAACGGATACCTAATGATAGGGGCACTATACCTCCCACGGATATCCAATGATGGGGGCACTACTCCTCCCACGGATTCCAATGATGGGGCACTACTCCTCCCACGGATACCAATGATGGGGCACTATTCCTCATCCACGGATACCAATGATGGGGCACTACTCCTCCCACGGATACCAATGATTGGGGCACTACTCCTCCCACGGATACCAATGAAAAATTGGGCACAACACTCCTCCCACGGATACCAATGATGGGGCACTACTCCTCCCACGGATACCAATGATGGGGCACTACTACCCTCCCACACGGATACCAATGATGGGGCACTACTCCTTCCCACGTGATACCAATGATGGGGCCACTACTCCTCCCCACTGATAATCCAATGATGGGGCACTACTTTTCCTCCCACTGATACCAATGATGGGGCACTACTCCTACTCCTCCCACTGATGAACCAATGATGGGGCACTACTCCTCCCACTGATACCAATGATGGGGCACATATTTCCTGTTCCAATGTGATTGTGGGGCCTATTCCTCCCACAGATACCAATTGATGGGACACTATTCCCCAAACTAATACCAATGAGGGCCACTATTCCTGCCCACTGATACCAATGATGGGGCACTATTCCTCCCACTGATACCAATGATGGGACACTATTCCTCCCACTGATACCAATGATGGTTGAACCCAAATCCTTTCCCATCAGATACACATGATGGGACACTATTTCCTCCCCATTGATACCAATGATGGGGGCACTATTCCTCCCCACCTGATACCAAGGATGGGGCACTATTCCTCCCACTGATACCAAGGATGGGGCACTATTCCTCCCACTGATACCATGATGGGCGCACTATTGGGGCACTGATAGAGGCGGTGGTCCCCGATGGCAAACCAAGGGAGGGGCACTATTCACTCCACTGATACCAAGGATGGGGCACTATTCCCTTCCCACTGATACCAAGATGGGGCACTATTCCTCCCACTGATACCAAGGATGGGGCACTACTCCTCCCACTGATACCAAGGATGGGGCACTACATCCCCCACTGATACCAAGGAAGGGGCACTACTCCTCCCCACTGATACCAAGGATGGCTGCACTACTCCAACCCACTGATACCAAGGATGGGGCACTACTCCCTCCCACTGATACCAAGGAGGGGCACTACTCCTCCCACTGATACCAAGATGGGGCACTACTCCTCCCGTACTGATACCAAGGATGGGGCACTACTCCTCCCACTGATACCAAGGAAGGGGCACTACTTCCTCCCACTATATACCAAGGATGGGGCAACTACAATCCTCCCACTGATACCAGGATGGGGCACTACTCCTCACCACTGATACCAAGGATGTGGGGCACTAGCTCCTCCCACTGATACCAAGGATGGGGCACTACTCCTCCCACAGATACCAAGGATGGGGCACTACTCCTCACCACTGATACCAAGGATGGGAGCAAACTATTTCTCCCACAGATGATACCAATTGATGGGGCACTGTTTTTTCCCCACTCGACAACCACCCAATGAGGTACTAGGTCCCCTCAGAGGTTATATCAATGAATCATCAAACAACTTGCTTGCAAATTCAGCATACAGCTATGCATGTGTATTGTATATGTAAACTGGTGATCTGATTTTTGTGTTTTTGATTTTGTCCAGGTTTGTCAGTTCCCAGATGGAGTGCTGCACCACCTTGTTGTCTTGTTAAAACTCTATGGACCGTTCACCATTGAAATGTTTGAAAAAGGACTGAACTAGGCTCACCCCTTTACTGTTGGAGATGGACCAATATTGCTACGTCAATAATGGTATTGGAATGATCCTGCTCTGACCACTACCTATTGTCCAGAGAATAGGACCAATCCATTGACAACACTACATTGTTCTAATGAACTAATCCAAGGTCACCTCTGTGGTACAGATGTGTGGACTGGGCTTTGGGGAATCCCCTGCAGTGTTCCATAGACTGATGATCCAGTTAGATGTAAGGTTCTAATAGACTGATCCATGAAAGGGCCCTGTGGTGATGGGGTTATCTTCTAAATGTGATTATTTCTTCAGGCATGAAATATGCTGATCCTGAGAGATCTCCCTTCTGAAACATTCCTACATTACTGGGAATGGCCTAATCCAGGATAAACATGCCTGGAATTCTGGAAAAGGACAGACCCTTGTCCTTGGAGTGATATATATGCAGAGTACTAGATCTATCCCAGGTAGAGGGAAACTTTTCACCTCTAGACTGGCTTCCAGTACAATAAAAATGCAATTTCACTTGGTGTTCATCACTCTTGTCCCCCCACCCCATACATGGACTAATCCATTAGAAGCTCCCTCATGCAGTCCCCAGGCCGGACTGTACCAAGGCCATTGGAGGGGCTGGTGAAATGAACTTGGTAAAACTTTAGCACTTATCATTTTTAAATCTGCCTTTATGTAGAGAAATGCTGATTAGATGTGAATAGATACTTGAGTATGATGTGTGACTAAAGTACAGAGAGCATGGTCAGGGATCTCGGAGGGGCAGGTCATGATTGGCCTTGGGGCTTGGTGTATGCCGGGCATCCTATTTCTTATGTATGAGGTACATTTGGCATGCCAATCATAGGTTAGCAGGCTCCTGTGCAGCTCAGTGGTGTACCAACAAGACCTCCATTCATGGAGCAGCTGGCCACAGGTTGCTTGGCCTTCTGGGATAACCTCCCTCGCTAAAGCACATGCTAAGTTCAAGTTCTTTCTAAATCAGTTTGTCATTTTTTTTACACCAGGCGAGTGAGCAAATGAGCAAGAAAGACTTATTCTTCCATGCCCAACATGACATCACTGTGACGCGTTTCATCCACAATATGGATGACATAGGAGTGGCTAAGCCCATGTGGACGAAACGCGTCAAAGCAAAGTCATGTCAGAAAGTGAGCAAAACATCAAGCAATGGCATTCCTATGCGTCTGATGTGAGTTTGCTTTGACGCATTTTGCCTAGGAACATGGCTTGGCCACCTCCTATGTCTAAGCCCATGCTGTGGATGAAACATGTCAGAGGAGGGTGTCACATTGGGCAGGGAAGAATGTCTGAGTGCCCTTGCTTGCTCTTTTGAGTGCCCTTCTGCCGTGATTTTTGCTTTAATGCATTTCGCCCACAACATAGGCTTGGCCACCTCTATGTCTAAGCCCATACTGTGGATGAAACTCCTCAGAGGTGGCGTCACGTTGGGCAGGGAAGACTATGTCTGACTTTGCTTTCATGCCTGGTGTCAGTAATGCTTTTTGTGGTTTAGAAATTACAGCCTGAATGGTGGCATGTCAATGGTGCCATGTGAAAAGCCATTTTATGTCCAGCTTTGTGTCTCTTTTCTCTGGACCTCTTCAAGATAAAATGTGGCCTTTTTGTTTTAATTTTCATTCAAACATTTCATGGCAATGCCCATATACACAAACCCTAAGGGAAAAAATAAATGAAAGCCAGCACCTTCTTCTTCCTTTTTTTTTTTTTTTTTTTTTTGTGTGTGGAGTATAGTGCTCTCTATGGAGCAATACTCCGAATAATATATGTAGCGACATACGATCGATCATGGATGCAATAATAATGAAGAATCCTCTTCTCAGAAATGGAGCGTTTGATGCTTCTCATAAACAATCCACCTGGCTGAATTGAATCGGGTGGATTGTTCCTTTTACTGTTTACTTGTCAAAGTGATCATTTGGCGCAATCGACTTCTGTAAGATGAGCACCTTCCCTTTTTTTTTCCTTCTGTATGCTTGTTCTTATTCGTAACCCTGAAGTGACAGTTCTGTTTTTGGTGGATGCTGGAGCTTTTGTCATGACCCTGTATACCTTTTTCAGCAGAAGCCCCTTTCTGAGAGTAGACACCATGGTGGGAGATGTACTAAAACTGGTGCATGTAAAATCTGGTGCAGCTGTGCATGGTAGCCAATCGGCTTTCCAGGTTTGGTTTGTCAAAGCCTCACTAAAAAAGCTGAATTTCGAAACTGGCGTTTTCGGTGCTGTTGCTGTGTGTTTAATACCATTTCAGTTTTAGTATAGGTGTTTGAGGTGTAGTTTTACTCTGGTAAAACGCTAATAAAATGGCACATAGGAGCGTTTTTAATGCTTGTAAAAAGCCAGTCTAATGCCCATACTGAAGCTTATACATGCCAGTCTAATGCCCATACTGAGCTCATTAATACCAGTCTAATGCGCATACTGAAGCTCATTAATGCCTGTCTAATGCCTATACTGAAGCTCATAAATGCCAGTCTAATGCCTATACTGAAGCTCATAAATGCCAGTCTAATGCCTATACTGAAGCTCATAAATGCCAGTCTAATGCCTATATGAAGCTCATAAATGCCAGTCTAATGCCTATACTGAAGCTCATTAATGCCCATACTGAAGCTCAATGCCAGTCTAATGCCCATACTGAAGCTAATTACTCCCAGTCTAATGCCCCTATTGAAGCTCATTAATACCAGTCTAATGCCCATACTGAAGCTCATTAATGCCTGTCTAATGCCCATACTGAAGCTCATTAATGCCTATACTGAAGCTCATAAATGCCAGTCTAATGCCTATACTGAAGCTCATTAATGCCCATACTGAAGCTCAATGCCAGTCTAATGCCCATACTGAAGCTAATTACTCCCAGTCTAATGCCCCTATTGAAGCTCATTAATGCCAGTCTAATGCCATACTGAAGCTCATTAATGCCTGTCTAATGCCCATACTGAAGCTCAGTGCCAGTCTAATGCCCATACTGAAGCTAATTACTCCCAGTCTAATGCCCCTATTGAAGCTCATTAATGCCAGTCTAATGCCCATACTGAAGCTCATTAATGCCTGTCTAATGCCCATACTGAAGCTCATTAATGCCTATACTGAAGCTCATAAATGCCAGTCTAATGCCTATACTGAAGCTCATTTAATGCCCATACTGAAGCTCAATGCCAGTCTAATGCCCATACTGAAGCTGATTACTCCCAGTCTAATGCCCCTATTGAAGATCATTAATGCCAGTCTAATGCCCATACTGAAGCTCATTAATGCCCATACTGAAGCTCATTAATGCCAGTCTAATGTCCATACTGAAGCTCATTAATACCAGTCTAATGCCCATACTGAAGCTCATTAATACCAGTCTAATGCCCATACTGAAGCTCATTAATACCAGTCTAATGCCCATACTGAAGCTCATTAATACCAGTCTAATGCCCATACTGAAGCTCATTAATACCAGCCTAATGCCCATACGGAAGCTCATTAATGCCAGTCTAATGCCCTTACTGAAGCTCAATAATACCAGACTAATGCCCATACTGAAGCTGATTACTGTATTTCGAAACTGGCGTTTTCGGTGCTGTTGCGGTGTGTTTAATACCATTTCAGTTTAGTATAGGCGTTTCAGGTGGTGTTTTAACTCTTGTAAAACGCTTATAAAATTGCACATAGGAGCGTTTTTAATGCTTTTAAAAAGCCAGTCTAATGCCCATACGGAAGCTCATTAATGCCAGTCTAATGCCCATACTGAAGCTCATTAATGCCAGTCTAATGCCCATACTGAAGCTCATTAATGCCCATACTGAAGCTCGTTAATGCCAGCCTAATGCCCATACTGAAGCTCATTAATGCCAGCCTAATGCCCATACTGAAGCTCATTAATGCCAGCCTAATGCCCATACCGAAGCTCATTAATGTCTGTCTAATGCCCATACTGAAGCTCATTAATGCCAGTCTAATGCCCATACTGAAGCTCATTAATGCCAGCCTAATGCCCATACTGAAGCTCATTAATGCCCATACTGAAGCTCATTAATGCCTGTCTAATGCCCATACTGAAGCTCATTAATGCCTGTCTAATGCCCATACTGAAGCTCATTAATGCCTGTCTAATGCCATACTGAAGCTCATTAATGCCAGCCTAATGCCCATACTGAAGCTCATTAATGTCTGTCTAATGCCCATACTGAAGCTCATTAATGCCAGTCTAATGCCCATACTGAAGCTCATTAATGCCCATACTGAAGCTCATTAATGCCTGTCTAATGCCCATACTGAAGCTCATTAATGCCAGTCTAATGCCCATACTGAAGCTCATTAATGCCCATACTGAAGCTCATTAATGCCTGTCTAATGCCCATACTGAAGCTCATTAATGCCTGTCTAATGCCCATACTGAAGCTCATTAATGCCTGTACTAATGCTATAGGAGCGTCTGGTAAGAGAAATTTAGTCGAAGTGTGAATGAGCCCTAACGGCTTGTTCAGACTTGCGATTAGGAGGTGTTAAAAATATGAGGTTGAGAGCCTCTACCATAAACTGTAAATGCAGAAGATAAGGGGTGGTAAAGGATAAGTTCACCTTTTAAATAAATAAATAAATGCTAATTTTTTTGCAGGTAAAATAAAATGTGCATTTATTATTTTTGTCTGCAGGAGCCTGTAAAGCATTGCACCAGTGATAAGTAGATCTATGGCACCATGCAGGTCTCCTGCTGATCTGTCAGTATATCTGCTTACCCGTACGGGATGTACAGGCAAGCAGATCTACTGACCTGAAGAATCGGTGAACTACCACACAGCGCCGCGGTAGTTTATTGAGGACTACAAGCTGAGAGCCTCTAAGGCTGTCAGGACTAGTAGTCTGTCATTCACAGATGACTGTGAATGAGCGATGCGGCCATGTGAGTGCTTTCTTTTATTTATTTTTTTGTATTTGACTGCTAGCGATGGGGGAGAAGATCCCCCGCTAGCTGTCAAGGCAGGGAGCGGGGGCCGGTCTGATCGTAACATGTTACACCTTGAATATGGGTGTAACATGTTATGACAGATGAACTTCTCCTTTTAACATGCAGCAGTTGTCATGATTTGCTTCGTGAGGGTGGCAAAAATGATCCCTTCTGTCACATTCAAGTGAATAGGGAAGTGGTTGTGGTGTGTTGGTTTGGCAGTCATGGGGTTAAAATGGGTGGTGAGGAGGCGTCGCATCGATTCCCTGCCTAATGCCTTTGAAAAGCGATCTGACTGGATTGCTTTTCAGAGGAGCTGCAGTTGTGATGCAAGTCTGAATTTAGACTTACTAGACTGCGACCCTGTATAGTACTGTCCCCCTTCAGTGTCCGGGAGGGTACGGTCATTGGTGGTGCTTTAACGGTTTCTCGCCAGCTGTACACATAGCTGTGGTAGCATGGCCTTGGGCATCAACACCGGCTGTCACATATGTGTACAGATGGCGCATTGTTTTGTACTGAGATCACGCTCATTTGGCGCCCCTTAGCCCTGACGACAGCTACCCGTCACTGTTTCTCAATCAACAGCCAATAAAACAAGCTCTTGATCACATGACCACAGTGATCACATGTTCAAGAGCCTGCCTACCGACTTGCTGCGCTTTGGAGCCCCTTTTACAGGCCGGCTCCTGCCAGCTGGATGGGGTGAGCCATAGATGTCAGGCTGCGGTGAATCTAATTCAGAGAGGAGCACAGAAGGAACTTTCCAGGCTAAGAGAGGTGATGGCATCTTGGGGTTTCTGCTGCCCATTTCATCCATAACAATATAAAATGGAAAGGATGGTGGGAAGTGAGCAGACAGGAACGTGGTACAGGGATTCCACCTCCAGGGTCCAGGAGAAGAGATCCATCCAGCATCCACCAAACATTGTACGTCAGTTGTAGGTGGAACGAAAACGACTCCTAACCACAAGTAAGACATGAAGGAAGCGCAGATCGGGGCAATGGGAGACGCATCCCATTGACCATTGTGTGGCAGAGGGCCACGGATATGTAGAAGAATGAATTTTCTTTATCCTCACCAGAGTTTTCTTTCTGCTCTATTATGAAGTGTCTGCAAACATTTCTGAACTGCCTCCCGTGTGTGTGCGTGCGTGTGTGTGCGCATGTGTGCGTGCGTGTTGGGACTTGAGACATGAATGGTTTATGTTCTCTGTAAACGAATGCAGAATATTCCAACATTATATGAATAAAAGTAGACATTTGTACGCAATAACACCATTTAGTTGTGTCATTTAATTAAAGGGATTCTATATTTTTGTTTTAGGTATTTATACAGAGCCAACAATTCACACTTACAGTACATACTGTACTCAAAATCTTACAATCTAAGGTCCATATCGCACATTTATACATACACATACCGCGGCCAATTTTGGCAGGAGCTGATTAACCTACCAGTACGTCCCCATGCACTTCCAACTTAAGACCTTCTTGCTTTTCTTTCTTCATTTATTGCAGTCAGGACTAATAGGCCTGTTGCACACGGGAGTAAATACTACTGAGTTTTTTTTTCTGACCTGAAATGAGATAGCATTGATGTCTATGGCAGGGCTCGAAAATTTCCAGGTCCCCATGGCGACTAGAAATTGCAACCTAGCTCATGGGTTGACACATTGCCTGCCTCCCATTGGCTTCAGTGCCAAATCGCCTCCCATTGGCTTCAGTGCCAAATCGCCTCCCATTGGCTTCAATGCCAAATCGCCTCCCATTGGCTTCAATGCCAAATCGCCTCCCATTGGCTTCAATGCCAAATCACCTCCCATTGGCTTCAATGCCAAATCGCCTCCCATTGGCTTCAATGCCAAATTGCCTCCCATTGGCTTCAATGCCAAATTGGCTTCCGTGCCAAATCACCTTTCACTGGCTTCAGTGCCAAATTAGCTTCAGTGCCCAATTGCCTCCCATTGGCTGCAGGGCCAAATTGCCTCCCATTGGCTGCAGGGCCAAATTGCCTCCCATTGGCTGCAGGGCCAAATTGCCTCCCATTGGCTGCAGGGCCAAATTGCCTCCCATTGGCTGCAGGGCCAAATTGCCTCCCATTGGCTGCAGTGCCAAATTGCCTCCCATTGGCTGCAGGGCCAAATTGCCTCCCATTGGCTGCAGGGCCAAATTGCCTCCCATTGGCTGCAGGGCCAAATTGCCTCCCATTGGCTGCAGAGCCAAATTGCCTCCCATTGGCTGCAGAGCCAAATTGCCTCCCATTGGCTGCAGAGCCAAATTGCCTCCCATTGGCTGCAGAGCCAAATTGCCTCCCATTGGCTGCAGAGCCAAATTGCCTCCCATTGGCTGCAGAGCCAAATTGCCTCCCATTGGCTGCAGAGCCAAATTAGCTGCAGTGCCCAATTGCCTCCCATTGACTTCATTGCCAAATCGCCTCCCATTGGCTTCAGTACCAAATCGCCTCCCATTGGCTTCAGTGCCAAATTGCCTCCCATTGGCTTTAATGCAAAAAGTCCTGTCAATAGCGATCCTAGATGAACACTTCTCTCTGGATGCAACTCTACTGTACCACTTGCAAATCTGGAACACACCGCTACAAACTCACACAGGAACCTTTTTGTAATGGCACTCAAAATACAATGTGTGTGGATCGCATCTGTGTGAACCCCTCAATAGGAACACATAATATCTATCCTGTCATGTGAATCGGTGAGTTTGAAAACGCATCCAGAATCACATATATGTGAACCAGAGCATTTTGGGATTGCGGCAAAATCGCTGTGATTGCAAAATGCAGGTTCGGTTGGCATTATTTTCAATAGCACCTAAAACGTCGCGTGGTTTTGCCGTGCGACAATCGTGGCATTGCGTGAAGCTTGTCCTCAGAAAGTTGCCTTGCCCCGCGTGCTGACCATCCATGCTACGCCTAAACAAAAAGGGGAAAAAAAAAAGTAATATTTTTAGCTGGCTTATAGATTCAAAGCAAATTTTTCAAGCTCTTGTCTATGGGACATTGCACACAGCTGAGTAAAGATCAGTAATACAGCGTTGAGTACAGAGCTATAAAACAAAACAAAAAATAGAAAATGTCTTCATTTGAGTGTAGTAATCTACTCTCGTGTTTACTCGTTTACATGAGTGTTGATAAGAATATTACAATACTGGCTACGAAGAATTGTACTCGTCTGTACTCAACATTACTCAGGTCTTTACACACCCCTTTTGGCCCCTTGCACACTGGTGTCACAGGTTCCTGAGTAAAGACACCTGTGTGCAAGGGTCCAAAAACGGTGTGTAAAGACCTGAGTTATGTTGAGTGAAGGTGTGTAAGTGTATAGACTAGTACAATTCTTCTTTGTTGCCTGTATTGTAATATTCTCATTTATATTTTTGGTTTGTGTGTTTTTTTGTTTTTTTTTTTATTTGGGTTGATTACACTTTATTGCCAAAAGTATTGGGCCGCCTGCCTTTACACACACATGAACTTTAATGGCATC